GATTTGGGGATGTGGAGATTTGGATATGTGGGGATTCGGGGATGTGGAGATTTAGATATGTGGGGATTCGGGGACGTAGGGATTCGAGGACGTAGGGATTCGGGGACGTAGAGATTTGGGAATGTAGAAATTTGGGGATGTGGAGATTTGGATATGTGGGGATTCGGGGACGTAGGGATTCGGGGTTGTACAAATTTGGGAATGTAGAAATTTGAGGATGTGGGGATTTGTTGATGTAGAGATTTGAAGATGTGGAGACTGTGAAGGCATAGGAACCTGGGGACGCAGGGATCTAGAAACATATGGATTTGGCAATGTAGAAATCTCAGAATGTACATATCTCGATTCTAGCGATCTGAGGTTGCAAGAATCTGTTCATCTAGAAATCCAAACCTGGAGGGATCTGCGAATACAAGAATCTCAAAATATATTATATTGGACACATACTCATTCGAAACTATAGAACTATGTCCATTTCCCAAATCCCCACATTCTTAACTACCCCTATCCCCAAATTCCCCCATTCAAATAGAAATTGCAAACTTACCTAACTTTCCTAATGAACGCCACTAAAGTCAATCGCTCTGATTAGTCGAAAATACCCGTGCACCGAGGTTAATCCGGGTCATTATCCATCCCGGGTTCCTTCAACGCCCAGCAAGCGCATCTGCATTGACTGCATAAGATAAAAGGTAGTGGCACGTGCGACCTCGATCGCAGAGTCACCCTCGGTACACAAAAACCGCAGCATCACGAGCAATCGATTCTTCGAAATTGCACTTTTGCGCCAGTTACACGAAGACACCGATCGTCCAGCTGGCAAGCAGCGAACTAGTAAAGCGGAAATCGTAAAAAAAGATGTTGGCTCGAACGATGGGGGTGTGGGTTCTAGGAGCAGCAAACGGACGACCTTGACATTGAATACGCTCCTTGCCCGTGGCCCGGTTGGTTCGATAGAGCTACACGCTGCAGGCGAACGCGATCCAGCAACAAGGTCGAGCCGCAACCGGATTAACCTAGCCACGAAACGCTGGCGACGGTTCCTCTGAACCTTGATCCTTGGTTAATCTCTTTAACGGGACTGACTATCAGCTGGTTCTGTGGAATTTCTTTGGACTTTGATTGAGCGTGAAGATTGGCGCAAATGAAGAATCGCAATTTGGGATGGGGGGTTGGGGATTTGGGGAGTTGGGAATTTTGGGATTTGGGGGATTGGAGATTAGAGGGATTGGGGATTTGGGGGATTGGGGATTTGGGAGATTGGGGACTTGGGAAATTGGGGACTTGAGAGATTGGGGATTTGAGAGATTGGGGATTTGGGAGACTGGGGACTTGGGAGATTGGGACCTTGAGAGTTTGGGAACTTGGGAGCGTAGGACCTTAAGAATTTTGGGATTTGGGAGATTGGGAACTTGGGAGATTGGGGATTTGAGAGATTGGGAACTTGGGAGATTGGGGATTTGGGAGATGGATTTGGGGAATTGGGGATTTGGGGGATTGGGGATTTGGGAGATTGGGGACTTGGGAAATTGGGGACTTGAGAGATTGGGGATTTGAGAGATTGGGGATTTGGGAGACTGGGGACTTGGGAGATTGGGACCTTGAGAGTTTGGGAACTTGGGAGCGTAGGACCTTGAAAATTTTGGGATTTGGGGGATTGGGGATTTGGGGAATTGGGGATTTGGGGGATTGGGGATTTGGGAGATTGGGGACTTGGGAAATTGGGGACTTGAGAGATTGGGGATTTGAGAGATTGGGGATTTGGGAGACTGGGGACTTGGGAGATTGGGACCTTGAGAGTTTGGGAACTTGGGAGCGTAGGACCTTGAAAATTTTGGGATTTGGGGGATTGGGGATTTGGGGAATTGGGGATTTGGGGGATTGGGGATTTGGGAGATTGGGGACTTGGGAAATTGGGGACTTGAGAGATTGGGGATTTGAGAGATTGGGGATTTGGGAGACTGGGGACTTGGGAGATTGGGACCTTGAGAGTTTGGGAACTTGGGAGCGTAGGACCTTGAAAATTTTGGGATTTGGGGGATTGGGGATTTGGGGAATTGGGGATTTGGGGGATTGGGGATTTGGGAGATTGGGGACTTGGGAAATTGGGGACTTGAGAGATTGGGGATTTGAGAGATTGGGGATTTGGGAGACTGGGGACTTGGGAGATTGGGACCTTGAGAGTTTGGGAACTTGGGAGCGTAGGACCTTGAGAATTTTGGGATTTGGGAGATTGGGAACTTGGGAGATTGGGGATTTGAGAGATTGGGGATTTGGGAGACTGGGGACTTGGGAGATTGGGACCTTGAGAGTTTGGGAACTTGGGAGCGTAGGACCTTGAGAATTTTGGGATTTGGGAGATTGGGAACTTGGGAGATTGGGGATTTGAGAGATTGGGGATTTGGGAGACTGGGGACTTGGGAGATTGGGACCTTGAGAGTTTGGGAACTTGGGAGCGTAGGACCTTGAGAATTTTGGGATTTGGGAGATTGGGAACTTGGGAGATTGGGGATTTGAGAGATTGGGGATTTGGGAGACTGGGGACTTGGGAGATTGGGACCTTGAGAGTTTGGGAACTTGGGAGCGTAGGACCTTGAAAATTTTGGGATTTGGGGGATTGGGGATTTGGGGAATTGGGGATTTGGGGGATTGGGGATTTGGGGGATTGGGGATTTGGGAGATTGGAACCTTGGGAAATTGGGACCTTGAGAATTTTGGAATTTGAAAGATTGGGGATTCGGGAGATTGGGACCTTGAGAGTTTGGGAACTTGGGAGCGTGGGACCTTGCGAATTTTGGGATTTGGGAGATTGGGACCTATCAAATTTGGGAACTTGAAAGCATGGAACCTTGACAAATTTGAACCTTGTGAATTTGGGGATTTGGGAAATTGGGACCTATCAAATTTGAAAACTTAGGAGTGTGAGACATTAAGAAATTGAGAACTTGGGAGCGTAGGAAATTGGAACCTCCAAAGTTTGACTTTGGAAAATTTCAAAAATGAAATGACATCTCAAGAATGCAAATTACTGCATCAATTTTCACTCCATTCCTATTTGCCCACGTATTTGCCATTAATTATCGTCCGGTCACATTATTTGCCTTCAATAAACTCGTTAAACATTCTTAACTAGTTAACAATATTGTTTGATGAAACGAGTGACCTACAGGTGACGTAACGTTGAACATTGACCAACGTTGCATCATCGTTTCGTGAAAGTATTCGTCCCAGTGACTGAAAAGGTCTTTGGTATTCTCAGGTGACAAATGACCTTGCCGAAGTCAACGTCTTCCTGCTGGACGGTTCGCTGATCGACGAAGAGTATTTTTCAACGCTGGAACCTCAGTCTACTCTCATTATACAGAAGCCCGGTGAAAAGGTGTTAACAGGTTAGCATTGTACGGTTTCTTGAAGAGAGAGATTGTTTTTTGGACATTTATCCTTGTTTGGAGTCATTTAAGGAAGCTGCAGTAGGTTCTCGAGGGACGGTCTTTGTTTACAGACGCCGACCTGCTGTACGATACCTTGAGGCGAGTCAACATCGATTTCCTGACTGCCGCCGACAAGGCGTCCAAGTTCCTCACGGAGCACCTTAAGACGAAGGTCGCTATTCTGAATAACGCGCTGAACAAGGACGATTCGAAGACGGCGTTCAGCAGCAGGGAGGAACATCCGGAATGGTTTCGGGGATTGGAAACCAACTGCACTACCAAGGTGAGTCTTTCTTTTTTGAGATAGATAAATCAATCATGATGAAGGTTAACTATAGGACTCTTAATGAGGATGAAGTTTAACGATCAGTCTTGATGAGGTTTAACTGTAGAACACTCAATGATGATGCAGTCTATGTACCAGTCATGATGAAATTTCATTATGAAACTATCAATTATGAGGCAGTCTAACTACCAGTCACGATAAAGTTTCATTAGAGAACTATCAATTATGATGTAGTCTAACTACCAGTCATAGTGAAGTTTCATTAGAGAACTATCAATTATGAGGCAGTCTATGTACCAGTCATGATGAAGTTTCATTATAGAACTATAAATTATGAGGCAGTCTAACTACCAGTCATGGTGAAGCTTCATTATGAAACTATCAATTATGAGGCAGTCTAACTACCAGTCATGATGAAGTTTCATTATAGAACTATCAATTATGAAGCAGACTAATTACCAGTCATGGTGAAGGTTCATTATGAAACTATCAATTATGAAGCAGTCTAACTACCAGTCATGGTGAAGTTTCATTAGAGAATTATCAATTATGATGCAGTCTAACTATCAGTCATGATGAAGTTTCTTTATGAAACTATCAATTATGAAGCAGTCTATGTACCAGTCATGGTGAAGTTTCTTTATGAAACTATCAATTATGGGGCAGTCTATGTACCAGTCATGATGAAGTCTCATTATAGAACTATCAATTATGAGGCAGTCTAACTACCAATCATGATGAAATTTCATTATGAAACTATCAATTATGATGCAGTCTAACTACCAGTCATGATGAAGTTTCATTATGAAACTATCAATTATGAGGCAGTCTAACTACCAGTCACAATGAAGTTTCTTTATGAAACTATCAATTATGAGGCAGTCTAACTACCAATCATGATGAAGTCTCATTATAGAGCTATCAATTATGAGGCAGTCTCACTACCAGTCATGATGAAGTTTCATTATGAAACTATCAATTATGAGGCAGTCTAACTACCAATCATGATGAAGTCTCATTATAGAACTATCAATTATGAGGCAGTCTGACTACCAATCATGATGAAATTTCATTATGAAACTATCAATTATGAGGCAGTCTAACTACTAGTCATAATAAAGTTAAACAATAAACCTATCGATATCAAGTCGATGAAAATAAATGTGGTTACAGAAATAATGAAACAGTCAATCTGAACACACTGCATACACAGCGGTCCTGTTAGAAATATCGATTTTTCAGACGTACATGAAACCGTGTTCTTCTAATTAGCAACTCAAACAGCACACTCGACGTCTATAAGCATAAGTGCAGACGGATATCTTCTTTAATTAGGAAACCGAGATTAGTATCTGCATAAGTACGTACCAGATAACGTCCTCAATTAGCTCAACTCCGTTTTACTTCTACATTTATGAGATGACTTTGTCCCAATGACTTTATCCATGTTTGTTCAGAGTATTTGTTTTACTTTAACTGCTCGTGACATAATTTTTGCATCGCTCTGTATTCTCTACACTTCACTTCCTCATCGATCTCTTCAACTTTGGATTAAGCTTTTCTAGAATGGTAATTATTTCCATTGCACAGGTGCAATTCACTGTTTCCAGTTTAAACTCTCCTGAACGTCGCAAGCTGTGGCTTGAATAAGCATCGAACAATTCGATATACCTACTGACATTCTACTTCGTATTGAAATGAACAATAACCACAATTCCATTGGCGATTTGCCGAAAACAATAGCCCTGTTCCACGCTGATTACCAACCAATTATATTCTCAATACGAACTGGTGACCCATTTCAATTGGCTACTCGCATCGGTGGCGATACTCGATATTTGTTACGTGAAGGTTCTTCCAAAAATATACCCATAGAAAAAACCTTGCTGCTTCTAAACCTCATTCGAATCTGTGCATTCAGCTGAGTTTAATAATCAAGTCGAAGGGTTGCAGCAAATAGTTTAGGATTTCAAACATTTGGAAAGTTGCAACGTTAGAAAATTTTAGGAAGGTGGTTGATTGATATTGGGACTTCGCAAGGTTCCTATTTCTCAAGTTTTTAAATTTGCAAGGTCCTAAATTCGCAAGGTCCCAATTACCCGAGGTTGAAAATTCGCAAGGTCCCAAATTCGCAAGGTTCCAATTTCCCAAGGTCCCAATCTCCCAAGGTCCCAATCTCCCAAGGTCCCAATTTCTCAAGGACCCACGCTCCCAAATTCCCAAATTCTCAAGGTCCCAATAAGAAAACGCATTGTACCCTTAACTTCCCCAACAAAGGCTACCCACCCACGATATTTTAACAAAAAGCAAGAAACTCCAAAATTTTCAATTATCCTTAACAAAGAAAATTAGCAAGCATTAACAAGGATTTCTTTTGACAGGAAGCATACATGCATCGCAGATGTCAAGACAGGATACGCAACTACCTCTACAAAACCATCGACCAAATCAAATCCTCCGAGACGTTCGCGAAGGACCCCCGAGCCAGAAAGCAACTACTGTACGCCATAGCCTTCTTCAAAATGCAGCTAAAAGAGGATCACTACTTCGGCCACTATTTCGACAGAAGTCGAGCAAAAATCGAGTCGTTGGAAAACGTCGACGAAAATGACTCCGCGGTCTGCTACGATCATTGTCCCTGTAGGCTCGACACTTTGGACGGCAGCACGTACTTCCGTTTGTTCGGAACGATGAACCAGTCCTGTGTCGATGGTCCAAGGAAGAAGGACACTGACAAAATCTCGAAAACGGAAACGAAAAGTGAGGAAGAAGATGCGGAGGACACTTGTCCGTATTCTGTTAGGAGGAATGAGAGAGTGTCCTGTGTGGCGATGTGCGATCACAAGGGTGAATTTAAGTGCTGTGGTGTTTGGAACGCGGAGAAGTGCTCTTATGGAGAGAGGCACAGAATCAACCCTTATAGATCGAGGGAGGAGCTCATACTGTTTTCTACGTGGAATTTTGATCATAAGTACGAATTGTTTACTTCGTGTTTGAATTTGAGGATGTTTCGGTTTTTAGATTTTTAAGCTTTCGTGGTCTCAAATTTCCAAATTTGCAATTTTTCCTAAGCTCTCAAATTCAAAAATTCGCAAGGTCTAAATTTCTCAAGGTTCCAAGCTCTCAAATTTCGAAGTTTGCAAAGTCCCACGCTTTCAAGTTCCCAATTTCTCAAGGTTCCATTTTCCCAAATTCCAAAATTTGCAAGGTCCAAATTTCTGAAGGTTCCACGCTCCCAAATTCCAAAATTTGCAAGGTTCAAATTTCTCAAGGTCTCGCGCTTTCAAATTTCAGAATTTGCAAGGTCCCACTCTCCCAAGTTCCTAATTTCTCAAGGTCCCATGTTCTCAAGTTCCCAAATTCTCAAGGTCCCACGCTCTCAAGTTCCCAATTTCTCAAGGTCCCACGCTCCTAAGTTCCCAATTTCTCTAGGTCCAAATTTCTCAAGGTTGCATTCTCCCAAGCTCCCAATTTCTCAAGGTCCCACTCTCCCAAGTTCCTAAATTCTCAAGGTTCCACTCTCCGAAGTTCCCAATTTCTCAAGCTCCAAATTTCTCAAAGTTGCACTCTCCCAAGTCCCCAATTTCTCAAGGTCGCACTCTCCCAAGTTCCTAAATTCTCAAGGTCCCAATCTCCCAAGGTCCCAATTTCTCAAGGTTCCAATCTCCCAAGTTCCTAAATTCTGAAGGTTCCACTCTCCCAAGTTCCCAATTTCTCAAGCTCCAAATTTCTCAAAGTTGCACTCTCCCAAGTCCCCAATTTCTCAAGGTCGCACTCTCCCAAGTTCCCAATTTCTCAAGGTCCCATGCTCCCAAGTCCCCAATTTGCCAAATCCCAAATTCGCAAAGTCCCAATTCCTCAAATCCCAAAATTCGCAAGGTCCCAAGCTTCCAAGTTCCCAATCACTCGAATCCCCAAATGTTCAAACCTCCAACTCTACATTAAAGATTCGCAACGTCCCAGGCTCTCAAGTTCCGAATCACCTAAACCCCCAAATGCCCAAACCTCCAACTCTACATCAAAGATTCGCAATGTCTCAAGTTCCCAACTTGTCAATCACCTAACCCCTTAAATTCCTAAACTGCTCTATACGCTCTACATGCTCTACTAATGCTCTACATTAAAAGATTGAAAAGTCTAACGAAATTTCCCATAATTTTCAGAATCGAGAGATCCAGAACGTTGATCCCGCTCCTCCTAAAGCTAACGTCTCAAGGAATCGCCAGCGAGACGGATATCCTGGACATCTATGACAATCTCTTCACCATGAAGAACTTGAGGCTGGTGCACATCGTGTGCCACGACAAGGGCTCGCACAAATAATTTAATTTACTTTACTAACTTATCGGGGACGTGAGAAGATACGTAGAACAACCTTTGAACATGAATCTAACTGTTCGTATGAAAACGTACCTACTTGTAAACTGCTGTTGATAGTTGATAGATTTAAACGTTTATTAATGTCGTATCCTAACATGATTCCGTTGCGCCGCAAAAATAAGCAATACCGACTAACTATTTTCTTCTGGCTGGTAGATTGTAAGTCTTTCCTAGACAACGATTGTTGTGATTTTTTATTGTACTGTGCACAAATGAATTTATTCGTTTAATGTGTTCACTGACGTGATGTGGGTTGAAGATGTGTATGAATTTATATTGTTGATGTAATTATAATTATTAGTTTAACTTGGGGAATTGGTATTGAAAATTGATATATCGATCGTTGTAGAGGGCACCAGTGACGCCATGACACCTCTTGACATTTTCTAACGTTAATAGAAATTTTTTTATGTACTCATTCTTGTAATAGTCGTGTATTTGTATTATTTTTGTAATGTACGTCTTGCTTTCCAATATCGCGAAGTATATTTTAAGGAAATTTTATGAGTCAAAATTTACCTACTCAAAGTTGATCAATCAAGCGTGGAAGAATGTTAGTACATTGGGTTCAACAATATTAATAATACAGTAACAACATAAGTAAATTGAAAGTGTAATCTGCAAAACGAAACAATCATTTACCAAAATAATGTTTATATCAACGTCCACCTAGCTCATGACAGTGAACACGTTAAATAGAAAGAATTATCGGTATTGCACTCGTGATATGTTACCAGTGTTAGATGCGAAAATTCGCAGACCGTGTTAAACCGATAAAATAAAAATTGTCACGAAATGTTCGATCCGATACTCGCTCGGTAAGGAAGGTAGCCGTGGATAAACACAGACTTTTAGAAAATCATAAACGAAAACTTTTTTAACACGTTTTTAAAGACTTCTTTATGTATAACTATTGTAAACTTTCTATCTTCGTCGAAGCCGGCGATGTTTATTCTCCTTCATGCACAAAAGAGGATCTCATAAAAGAGAGCCTCGATTTATCGTACAGGGTTGGGCGCAATGGAATAATCGCGGATCAAAAGAGAATTTATCGAGACGGGTCGATTAGGCTCGTTTAAAGAACTGTTGCTTAATTTCTTCGAGTTTCGCGAGGAAGCGGAAGGACAGTCCTAATTTTAGGACGTTAGAGATTATCTTTAGAAAGTGTACTCTCTAGATTCTGAGTATCTTTCGAATATTTTTCATTCGACTGGTCGATTAATGACAAAACCAAAGTTCTGATATACATATATATATATATATATACATATATACATATTCGTTACGGAATTTAGAAGAGATACATGTGTGAACATGTGTGTAGATTTGTACATCACAGATTATTTGTACTCACACTTTATTAATTATATTGATTAATTATTAGCAATTGGGAGTAACGATGAGTATTATCATATATTTTGAAATATTTTTGTAGCGAATAAAATTTTTAAAAATTATTTTCTATGTACACTCGGAGTAACGATAAATATTATCATAGAAAAATATTTTTGTAGCGTACAAAGTTTAAAAAATTATTTTCTATGTACACTCGGAGTAACGATAAATATTATCACAGAAAAATATTTTTGTAGTGTACAAAATTTTAAAAATGATTTTCTGTTTACAAGGTAATATTCAGCTAACACAATGTGCTAAAAATATAAAATCATTTCAGCTATTTTGAATAAATCCTTAAAAGTTGCAGTCCTATTAATTCACCATGCAAAATTGATTTTTACCCACGTTGGTAATTTTTAGAAATTTTAATCAATTACCAAAATTGATATTACAAGTATCCACAAATATTTTCATAATTTACCATGATTTCATGATTTACTTTTCAACAAACTATTCTACTGTGACAGACATCCATTCTACACACGTGTACACACGAAATATAAATATATACAGAGGTATTATACAAGAGAAATTATAAGAATGTTTTAGAGACATGTGTGATATCAAAAGCGCGGGAAAATCAAGGTTAAAGGCTAGAGTGTCTTTTGCTAATTTTTTGAAATGATTTTACTAGTTGCAAGTTTTAATTAACGATGAATAAATACTACGGCTAATGATTTAGTATATTTCAGTTGAAACACCGCCATTTTCTGTTCGACTGCCGCGGCTCTTTCGTCACGAACGTGTTGAAAATTGCTGGGCCGTAGATTTCTTTGTACACGCGAACGAGTCGTTTCTCGTCTTTGACGAGTCCCTGGTATTTCGTATACAAAGTAGTTATGCAAGATTTTCGTGCAAGCTTTGTTCTTTGGTTCGCGTTTTACCGAGAAGGTAACACGAAATTGTTCAAGCGAAACAGAGTGATCGATAGACGTTTCGTGAGCATCGGCGGAAAAATTTGTTTGTAAGATTCTTAACGATCGTTATTCCGAAAGTTTCCATAACTAAGCAGCGAATTTATGGCGGTGATTTATTCGTTTTCAACAATGTACAGTTGTCGAAACTTCCGGAGCTACATCGTGGAGATTTATGGAATCGAAAAGGAGCAGAAAATCAAAATTCGGTCACTCTAAAAGTTTTGAGAAGCGAGGTATAAATTTGTTCGAAGAACAGTTTACGATCACAGTTTACAACCCCGTCCTATTTGCACACAGGGGTAAATTCTCAAAACTTTCAGCGTAACCCAGGAAAAAAAGCTGAAAGGCAATGTTTCGCAGAAGTTTAATCGGATTAAATTAGCGAACTCTCATATCCGTTTCACGAAGAGAAAATAAAATTCGTGTCTCGAAATGTAACATATACTACAGGGGTGTCTTTGAGACGCTACAACGTTTATAAAATTTTATATCCGAGAGCTAAAAGTTTTGCGACTACCTTCGCTTTCATCTTAAAATTGAACACCGGTCACGGTTTCGAACGACAAAAGAAAAATTGCAGGCAAAGTGGTGCATTTAATCTGTTTGTGAAGGAACGTTGTAGCAACCCTTTAAAGGCACCCTGCATATCGTGATAAGCTCGAACCAAAACAGAGGAGAATATTTTTGTGAAAAAACACCGCGTCCAAAGGAACCTGATAATGTATCTCGATCGACGTGCCATGCAAAGTGAAACTGTGACAAAAAAGTGCAATACTTCCTCGTAGGCTACATGTAAGCATAGCTATTTTTCAATGTAAAACGACTGTGTAGCACTATTCTAGGGAAATATACATCTATTTTAGGTACGAGGGGAGGAGGGAGAAGAGAAAATGTGTCTTCTGTAATTTTGTTTCATTCCTGTTCCCTGTGAGGCAACCTTTCTTTATGCAAATTTCTAGGTGCAAATTTATGTCCTTAAATTTGTAGATCTTCAGATTGCATCCCCTAATTCTTAACTCCTCCAAATTTTTAAACTCTTTATTCAATCCTTGTACCCAAAGAATTTTGCTGCCTTTCAACCCTTGATGATCATATTCTTTCTCTTTCTTTTCATAAATTATTTTTAAAGTCTTTGAGAATGTATCTACCTGTCGTAAGTATAATTTACATTTTTATAGTGACAGTAAAGCGTGAAAAAATAATATAAATTTTACTGTATTAATTTTGATAAAATATTAACAGTATAAACTTTCGAGTTCAATGCACTTCAGTGAATACAAAATTTCAAGAAACTTTTTCGTCCAATTTGAAGCAAAAAAACCGTTAATAAAATACGCGATCGATTATTAAAATGCACGGAAAACCGAATTTGAGAGACAAAACATACGGTCGTATGCTTCGTTTTTTGTTCGATTACGTTCACAGAAATTTCCATGCGACCGATAATTAAACGGCAAGCAATTGTCCCGCGGGAAATTTATATTTCGAATCGAACAAATTCGAGGAACAATGTAATTTCATTAACGCGAACGAAAATACAGCGGCGAAATGGAAGCCGAATTTCATATTTTTCTTCCGCGAATCGAAATAACCGTTCCTCTTCGATCTCGTTATCCCATCGAAATATATACGGACAGGGGCGTAAATCAATTACGGGCGGTTAATTACGAGCGCAATTAAAGGAGCGATTACAACGTAAGAACGGTCCGGGCCGGTGTCGTTTAATTTAATTGCGCTGCTAAGGTTCCAGGGTCCTTTCTCTCCTTTCTTCGTCCCTGCCCTCATCGGCATTGGCCGTGTCGCGGAAACTTTTCACGAAGCCTCCATTAACAACGATATTGTTCAAGTTTCGAGCGGCCGTTATTATTTTACTGCCTCGAACGTCTCGGCTCGCGCACTTTTCCATTCGTCGCGCTCATCGTTAACCCGTTAATTAATCGTAATTGCATTCCGCGTTCACGAAAATTAGCGGACTTCATCCATCTATGTTATGGACGGCTACTTACGAGTCTTAACACCGGCATGTGTTCTTAATTTGAAATTAAAAATGAAGTTGCAAAATAAATACAAACGATGAAACATAAAATAGTACATAGCTTGATGAAAATCAATTCTGATTTCAAGAAATATACTTTAACAAAATGTGTACCCTATGACAAGAAACTTGCGAAGCGGTTTGATTGTTTTAACGTTAATAATATAGAAAGAAAAGTACTAGTAGTAGTAGGATTTAAAAAGTTTCTACAGATGTCTATCTATGAGGTGACTGATTATTAATATTATGTTATATAGATCGTTTATTTTGAAAGTCCATTTTCATTTATTTGGAGAAAATTAAAGGTTAACATGTATGTCAGTGACAAAATATAGGTTAATTATACCAAGACTGGCAATTCTGCAATTTATTTACTGATTGAATATGTAATTTGATTATACAAATTTTAGGTGATTTAACTGGAATAATGTATAATCATGCAAATGGATTTACAGTACTTTCAAAATAAACAGTTCGTGTTCTAAAATGCAAGCTGTGACAAAATGAGTGATGCACTTTAATCGATATTTCCTGCAAAAGTAATTGCAAATGTGTACCATAATTACAGATGTGTACAAGTCTTGCAAAAATCGTGACAGGTGTCTTTCCAACATCAAATCTAGGTTGATTGCACAATCGAGATAAGCTTCTTTCATTAATTTCGTCTAAACAAGCTTATCCGCGAGAATCAAGACTTAATTTCGTACGAATTCACCGTAAATTGGAGCAGATTTTCATCTACAGCCATTAAGGTAGATGCAACATTCCGATAAATCGAATTAGCTTGAACTCGATATTTATACTGGGCTATCAGTCTTATTTAATCATTGCTGTCTTGTTAAATTTTGTACTAACATGTATTAGCAATTTGTGAAGATATAAATAGTCGAGTCGGTTTACGTATCGATGTCAACCAAATTGACGCTTGATCGACCCAAAGCGAAGCTCCGTGAACACTTACAGTTACATTTCGAAATAATGACAATAACTGCCGAACCCCAATTCCAGTTCTCACCCATTCCTAAATACTAAATTTCCAAAACCCCAAAATCACGTTTACAAATTCCTATATTGCAAAATACCTTCTTTCCGAAATTCACACAACCCCAAATTGCAATTCTCATGCATTCCTAAATACTAAATTTCCAAAACCCTCAAATTCACGTCCTCAAATTTCCAATACCCTCAAATTCATGTCCCCAAATTTCCAAAACCCTCAAATTCACGTCCCCAAATTCCTAGATTGCTAAATACCTTCTTACCTAAATCCACACACCCCAAATTCTAATACCCCAATTCCACCCATTCCAAACTACTCCAATCCCCAAAATTCCCATACATTCCTAAATATCAAATTTCCAAAACCCTCAAATTCACGTCCCCAAATTTCCAAAACCTTCAAATTCACGTCCTCAAATTTCCAACACCCTCAAATTCACGTCCCCAAATTCCTAGATTGCTAAATACCTTCTTACCTAAATCCACACACCCCAAATTCTAATACCCCAATTCCACCCATTCCAAACTACTCCAATCCCCAAAATTCCCATACATTCCTAGTCCCCAAATTTCCAAAACCCTCAAATTCACGTCCCCAAATTTCTATATTCCTAAATACCTTCTTTCCTAAATCCACACACCCCCAAATTCTAATACCCAATTCCACCCATTCCAAACTACTCCAACCCCAAAATTCCCATAAAACTTTGAAAATCTCAAAATCCTGTCCTCCACAATTTCTAAAATCGATCAGAAGTTCACATTTTTCCCAAAAAGAATTTACCCTTGACTTACAAGAGATATCGTTACTCAATAATAAATAATTATTAAACGGAAACCTAAATAAACCACATGCCCCAGTTTAACCGTAGATGAACGTTCGAATGAAAGTAACAGCGAAAAGAACAGTGTTCACCGGTTCAAAGAGAAACGATTTTACGGTTTACATCGCGATATCCTCTAGCTAGAGGCCCGGTCTGAATGGTGGCGGGAAATGGCGCAACGCGAGCGTTGTTTCTTTTTTTCCGAAATATCCGAGCTTTTGCGGATCACTGGCCACTCTTGGAGAATCGAATCACGTCGACGCCATTTCGACGACAGACGTGTTCTTTTGCGCAACGAAGCGGCACGATAATGGGTCAATTTCGAATTCACTGAGCAACCTGAATGAAGCTCGAACTTCGTCTGATTCCACTTCTCTTCGTCCCTGACGATCGGGGTTATTTTCAGCCTCTCTTTTCCTGTGGTTTATGCTCTGTAAAGACTGACCCATCGGTAGTTGATTTTTGAGTAAAATACAGAATAGAGTGGCTCAAAATATGCGAATAATACATAGTGACTAGACTGCAACATCAGTAGTTGACTTTAGAGTAAAATATAAAGTGGAGTACCTCAAATATATGCGAATAATAAATACTGACAAGACTGCTACATCAGTAGCTGACTTTAGAGTAAAATACAAAATGGAGTACCTCAAAAATATGCGAATAATAAATACTGACAAGACTGCAACATCAGTAGTTGATTTTCGAGTAAAATATAAAATGGAGTACCTCAAATATATGCGAATAATAAAAACTGACAAGACTACAACACCAGTAGTTGACTTTAGAGTAAAATATAAAATGGAGTACCTCAAATATATGCGAATAATAAATACTGTCAAGACTAATACATCAGTAGTTGATTTTCGAGTAAAATATACAATGGCGTACCTCAAATATATGCGAATAATAAATACCAACAAGTCTGACCCATCAGTAGTTGACTTTCGAGTAAAATACATTACAGAGTTCCTAAAAAATCTGCAAATAATAAATACGAACAAATCTGACCCATCAGTAGTTGACTTTCGAGTAAAATACATTATAGAGTTACCCAAAAATCTGCAAATAATAAATACCAACAGGTCTGACCCATCAGTAGTTGACTTTCAAGTAAAATACATTACAGAGTTCCCCAAAAATCTGCGAATAATAAATACCGACAGATCAGACCCATCAGTAGTTGACTTTCGAGTAAAATACATTACAGAGTTCCCCAAAAATCTGCCAATAATAAATATCGACAAGTCTGATCCATCAGTAGTTGACTTCCAAGTAAAATACATTACAGCGTACCCCAAACATCAACAAATAATAAATACCCACAAAACAAACGAAGATCAAAGATCAATTTCAAGCACACTCATTCGAAATTAAGATAATAGTCAAATTCAGATAAATTGAGACTAAGATAACAAATATGAAAATGAAGTTCAAAATTTATAGAATTTCATACTTGATCTATCTGAAAACGATGTTCTAAAGCAAAGAAGGGTATTCGACTATGGAATGTAGAATTTGGAGTGAGTGTCAGCTGTCGAATTCGTCCATGACCGCCGGACCACCCAGTATTCGTTTCAACGATCCTAACGAGAATAAATTTTCGTTTCACGTGTCGCTGAGTTTTCGCGGCTGAGCGATCCTCCATGGTTGACCCTGGGGGGCGAAAATTACCCCGCAATATGTTGCCAATCGTAACCGGTAGAAAATCGATAGAAGGAGGGCCGGTTCGAATTGCTTGCCCTTCGAAAATTACAGATTTACCGCCCTTCTATTAAACGTAGTGCCACGCGTCTCGCTAGGTGGAAAAATACCCCTCGTGATGCTCACTTACCCTAAATGTAACGTAATTGAACACGAGTATTTTGCTCGATTGACCTGTGGAAATTCATTACACTTGTTACGATGCTATTAACACTTTAAGAACTCATCAAAATAGATCTCAGATTTCTTATTTTTAATTATGAAGGCTATTAGCTTTTTATAGAAGCTAAATATGGAATTATTATTTTGTGAGATGGATATAGAATTATTATTTTATAAGCTGAATATAGAATTATTAT